TTATTATTCTGCATAATGATATGTTGGAAGTATTTAAAAAGATAAATTATGGTTTGGGTTGACGTTTTCTTCTTCATTTACAGAAGCATACTTTCAAAGACTGGAAGCTTATGCTTTCTTCAGGGTTGCATACTTGAAACTTTTCATATTATCTTGAAAAGGACACTATAAACATGTTACATGTGCCTAACAAGCAGTACAAAATAAAGTTATAAACACATTAGATCACCCCTCAGTGTTTATACTTGTGCCAAATTCCTGAAGGTATGATACTGTAAGAACAAACCACAGCAGACTAAATGCAATCAAGTTTACAAGTGTACCTTATGGAATAAATGAGTAAAGCATACATGTGTTGAATAATGTTTGTGTTGCAGATGTTCATTTAGTATCTGTTTGTGCATTCATAGTTCCAGGCTTCCCATCTGAACATATCTATTCTAATGAAGCTTTGGCAGCAGCTCCAGTTGCAATGTCATACGGGTTGGTACTTGCTGTCTGTGTCTAGTGCCTCAAAGAATAACAAACAGTATTAAACAAACCCAAACTTCAGTGCTAATGAGCAAGACATCCCCACTCTGCTCCAGGTGTTTTACTGACATACAAAATCAGGACTAGACAACTGCCCTCTGACTCCCAGATTATGTTCAAATAGTGACTAGACACAACATGCAGTTTGAGAGTTTAAAATAAAAACAGTAATATAAAAAATCATCATTAGGTGTATTTGTCACAGTAATTCAATAGTGCTTCCCCCAGTTTTTTAACCTGCAACAAGCAATAGAAGCAGTTTGTATCACTGAAGGACATAGCAATCAATCAATTTCTCTGGCACAGATTGTGCTTTTTAAGGCAAAACCCAGAAACTGATGAGAGATTGCTGTCAATACCTCTCTACAGGTGAAGGAATGTCTCTTTAGCAACTGAGTCCCAGCCAGCAGACTGCAATAACAGATGAAGTAATTCAGACCAGTTAACTTTCAAGCTTAGCTGCACTGCTACAGTCAACAGTGCACAAATGCTGCCCAACTGCACGAAATTCAATTGTTCAATCAGCTCCTGCTAAGTTTTTCTTTAGAGTGTATCATATGTTTGCAGCTTTCCCTGGAACTCTTTTGCAATTACGGGGACTATTTCCTATCCTTGATTAATTTGTGTTTTAGAGTTATGAATGATTATTAATTCTCACTTGATAAACTCTGGTTTGCTCCTACGCCTTTGTGGGATGGTGTGAGACATTCACACCACCCTGTCCAAGGACTTGGGGCTTTGCAGAACAGACAGTATGCAATTGTGCACCATTGGAATGCACAAGTTTAATGACAAAAATGTACAGACGGCATCGTGGTTTTGTTACTTCGCAATTTTTCAATGTTTTACCTTGCAATCTTCATATTCTCTTTATCTTGATTTAGAAGAAATATAAACACCTGCAATGATTTCTCAGTAGGTAAATTAGCAGTTGAAAATGTGTGTTCCAACTCTGGCTCCCATGTTTTCCGGCTATGTTTTCTGCCTAATATTAAGAATATTTCTTTCTCTCCTTTTTCATCCTTCTTTGGCTGAAGGGCACAGTTTAGTAATTGTTTAACTACTAAACTCTAACAACCAAATGATTTAATGACATAATCACTAAACAGCAATTATTTAACTACTAATGAGGTTTTTTCTTCACTAAGATTCCAAACTACTCTGTAAGCATCTCAAGGCTAAAGATATTAGTTAAAATGAAGAGAATATTTTCCAGCATAAACACAGCTTAAGCTTACAAGGAGAGGGACCACTTCACTCATTCATCTGAAAAAAATGCCTATATTTGAGAGGGAATTTACACAAAATAAACTGTATTTCTGAAAGTAGTTATGGAAAATAGGACAACAGTAAGTTTGAGAAGAATGGCCTGAAAAAGGTGAGATATAAATTACATGTTTAAGTACTTTCATATCATCTTTGAAAATCACCAGAAATATTTTTATATTTTACTAAATGATCACACTGGTGGCGGAGCTTTGTTTTTTGGGGGGTTTGTTTGTTTGTTTGTTTTTGGTTGGGGTTTTGTTTTTTTAACTTTTGGTTGCTTGGTTGGTTGGGGTTTTTGGAATTTTTAAATTAAGAGAATAATAGACAGAAAACCTGGAAAAAAAAACCAAATTCAAACTCCAGAGCATTCTTAGTTATTGGCCAGGGTGAGACTGCACTATAGACAAAAAGGTATGAGAAAACCGCATTACTTTTCATTACACTATGTCACCTTTCGATTCAGAGATTTTCATATGCAAATTCTGAGGCGAGTGAAACCGCAGCTCTTGGAGGTGCTTCAGGGCTGCTTTCTCCAGCAACTGTGACTCCATTGCCCAGGTAAGACTGTGTCCAGCGACATCCCACTGAAAGTAATGGCAATGTTTTACTCAATAAAGCTTTGGAAGAGTTGATCATGTATTTGACTGATATTTAACCCAGCGGGGAAATGAGAACACAGGTGCACAACGAACCTTCAGCCTGAACAGCACTGAGTGAGTATCTGTGCTGCTCCACTGACTGCAGCAGGACGCTGTGTGCTGCATTCTCCGCTGCCTCTATTCGATGTCAGCTCCGGGCACAGCTGTCCCTGGCTTTGCTCGGCCCCGGGGCTGTGGGGGGCTCCCGCTGCTGGCTGTCCCGCAGGGAAAGGCCTGCCCGCCGCCCCGGGCTGCCCCGTGGCTCAGCGAGCGGGAACTGCGCCCGCGGTGCCGCTGAGGGGAACCGTGCTGGGCCCTGGGCCCGCCCGGGACCGGGACGCGCTTTTGAAGAGCCCGTTCAGTGCTGGCGGCCCCGGGGGCAGCTGCAGTTGGAGCTGCAGGCTCAGCTCGCAGGAGAGCTCCGGCAGGAAGCCGCGAACTGCTGACCCTCTGCACAACAAAGGGCTCGGGGACACAGGTGAGGGACACACACAGGCGGGGCAGGAGCCAATGAGCCCAGAATTTCAAATCCTTAGACTGTGAGGGTATAAAAACCCAGGAGTCCCTCCTAAGAGGCACCCTGCTCGAGCTGCTATTTTATGAGTTTGTTACTATACCACGATTAAATTATTTTAAGGCACTACTATGTAAAACCTCTAAGCTGGTAAGGAAATATGGTCTGTGTCAGTGTGGGAGGTGCAGCAGCAAAGGGGCTTTGGTCCCAGCTCAAGGGGTGCGAATGTGACAGCCATAGTGGTTCCTAGGTAGTGGAGCACATAATCTTAGAATGATTTGGGTTGGAAGAGATCTTAAAGATCATCTAGTTCCAAACCTCCTGCTGTGAGCAGGGATATGTAAAATGAGACCAAGTTGCTCAGACCCCTATCCTATCTGGCCTTGAACATCCAGAGCTGGGACAGCCACAATTTCCCTGGGCAACCTATTCCAGAGCTTCATCACCCTCACAGTAAAGAATGTTTTCCTTAATATCCAATCCAAACCTACTCTCTTTCAATTTGAACCCATTCCCCTTGACCCTATCACTCATGCTCGGGGTAAATAGTTTGCCTCATCTTTCCTGGAAGTTTCCTTCAGCTACTGAAAGGTTGGCATTAGGTTACTATGAAAATCTTGTCTTTTCTGGGCTGAACAATCCCAAATCTCTAAAACTTTTCCTTGTAAGAGAGGTCTCCAAGCCTCAGATCAATGTGGTGGCCTCCTCTGTACTTGCTCAAACAGGTCAATGTCTTTCTTGTGCTGGGACCCCAGGAAGAGAGGCAGTTCTGGAGATGGAGCCTCACCACAGTGAAGGGGCAGAATCCTGTTCCTCTCAATGCTGCCCACACTGCTTTGGATGAGGCCTAGGCCATGTTTGGCTTTCTGGGCTTTAAGTGAGCATTGATGGCTCATGTTAAGCCTTGAGTCCACCCGCATTTCCAAGTCCTTCCTGGCAGGGCTGCTCTCGACCTGTTCAGTCCCCAGCCTCTGTTGATACTGGCTGGTTTCCCTGAGAGCATGGCACTGGCCCCGTGTGCCCTCACCAAAGCAAAGAGCAGGCAGTGCGAGGCTGGGCTGGGCCGGCTGGGCTTGAGGCATAGCCTACCACAGCAGTGCGGACCGGGTCATGAGGCCTTAATACCAGCAGCAGCTCCTGCTAGCGAGACCGTGAGGTGCGGCACATGGCGGCGGTGTTATACCAGGCTGTGATTCCCGGCGGTGTTGTGTTATGCCAGGCTAGCAGGCCCGACACATGGCGGCGGTGCCATCCGGGGT